GTCAGCGTAAGAAGAGCATATGGGGCCCATTAACTCACCAGATCTGCCACTGTTCTGCAAATTTTTATTAAGCAAGTGCAGTCCCTGATGGTCACTTATGTTATAGAATGCATATCAAATGCTATCAATAAGCAAGGGGATTGTTTTCCCCCAGTGAGAATGCATTTGAAGGGTATGAGAAGACTTGACAAAAGAATAAAATATTTTAAGTGATCACTGTATTAATATAAATGTATCCTACTGGGAAGCCAATGTATGTATTATAAGCACTTCACTGTTGCCTCTAATAAGCTCTCGGGGTGCCATCTTTTTCACAAATCAGATTTTCTCCCCATACTTTTTTGGTTTATGATTTTTCTCAGTTCTAACAATGATCCTGATGAAGTCAAAAGACTCTGTGTGTTTATCCACAGTTTGTAAAAAGGTGCTGTAAGTGTTGAGCAGTTCTAATTAGCTTCAGAGGGCTGCAACAAATAAAACTAGAAACATGGGCCATCAGGCTGCTGTGTTTCCCAAGCAAGTCTTCCTGAACCAGGGGATGCACCAGGGAATTAACAAACATCCAAACCAAAGAGTGTCCTGCTTATGAAGCACTTTACAAGAATTAAATCAGTGTCCATCAATCTTGAGTTGAAGGCTAGGAAGCATGAGCTTAGTATAGAAATCCCGTTATCTAAATAAATTCAGACAAAAGAAGAGCAGGTCCACAGTGCTAAGTATTTAACAACAGTTACAATAGAAATCTCCCTGAATTTCATCTTCACAAGTTTCCAACATTTCACTGATATTGCTTTGATTACTGTAATAATCCTTTAAGTAATATAGAGCAAGTAGTACCCACCTTTGGGTAAAACTGAAGGATAAAATGGGAGTATAATAGGTTCTGGAAACTTAAAACAGGAATGAACAAACAAAAGAAAGAAAAGAATCTATCTTCAGAATCAGAATGAGAAACTGACTCTTGAGATCCATCAACACTCTCTCACTTGATGCTTTTGGTGCCTCACCATTCTGGAATGGAAGACCTTTACAACACCAGGCCCACCCATTTTTTAAACTCTTGTAAATAAGGTTTCATTTGAAATGGCACACCTGTCATATCCATTCCAATTGCTGTGCTATCCAAATATTGTGCAGTGAAATGACTAGACTTAAGCTCCAGCCCCCAGAGATAACCTTATAGTAGTTCTAAGGTAATGTGAGTTATAAAGGAAGTTGAGTATTAATTATAACACTTGTCATTTAAAAAAATAGTGGTGGTATGTGTAATTTTACCTCATTTTCTCATTTGCTACTATTATTTAAATCACTCCCCAGCACTAAGCGTGTGCATAAAAGGTGATTGTTCCCAATTTAACCTTTTAAATAAAGTGTATTCTATTAATTAAGTCATTACAGTCCCCTCTCTTTTCTATTATGTTTATTCATTTATCTTCTGTCCTAAAGATAGACATCTGTGTCACTGAATATTTTGGAGAAAGACCCCTAATTTTTATGCCTATCACCCATTTGGATTTTCTATACTGTTTTTTGAAATAGTGTTCTAAAGAATTTCAAATTGTCAATTAAAATAATGATAAGTATTCCCACTAAGAATAATAGAGTGTGCAGTCAAAAAGTTAAGGAAGTACCATGTTTAACCTAATATGGCTGAGGAATATGCAATACTTAAATTGGCTTAGATTTAATGGGATAACTTGTGTCTATCAAAAAAAGACAAAAGCAAAATAACAAATCCTACCTTTGTGTGAATCCCCTTTTCAGAGTAACTACACATAATAAGGCTATATTGTCTGAGTACTGTATTTCCATTGCCTTTTTTACACTACAAGATGAACTAGAGACAGGTAAACTGAGAGATAAAGGCTGCTGTGGACGTGGGATTATCCTTGAGGTAACAATTCGAAGTGTCTGCCTGAAGGCACAGTATTCTCTCAAATGTTTTCACCTCTAGTCCTGTATAATCCCAGGCACATTAAATCCTAAGTACCACCATCAAATTCACAACCTCTACTACTCTCACAATTTTCATTTATCAAAAGTTTTCATTTATTGAGAAATAACTACCTTGCACTGTGCTCAGTGCATTTGTACATTTTTTTCATTTAGTCCCACAACTCCTTCTGTAGTGTTTTTATCTGATTTTTTCACAGAAGGAAACTAAGGTTGAAAAGAACTTAGTAACATGCCTGGTAAAGCTGAGATACAACCCACATCTATCTCATTATTAGCTATCATGTTATTCTGCCTTTCTATTTAGGTCCTTGTTAATAATGTTGATAGTAGTCTACATTTATTAAGCACTTACTATATGATCTTCTAAGTACCTTGCATAAATTTACACATATAATCTTCACTACAAGACTTTGGAGGAAACAGTATTATCTTCATTTTAAATGTTTTTTTAATGTTTATTCATTTTTGAGAGAGACAGAGACCGAGCACAAGTGAGGGAGGGGCAGAGAGAGAGGGAGACACAGAATCCAAAGCAGGCTGTACAGGCTCTTAGCTGTCAGCACAGAGCCCAATGTGGGGCTGGAACTCATGAACCATGAGATCATGACCTGAAGTCAGGCTCTTAACTGACTGAGCCACCCAGGCGCCCCAATATTATCTTTGATATATATGATGAGATTGAGGCCCAGGGAGTTATAACAAATAGCATATGACTAGTAAGTTCCAAGTAGGGATTTTAATTCCAATGGTATCTCCTTTGTGAAATGGAGATGATTATTTTAGCTTGAACCCATTACAACTTCAAATTTCTGAGCATGTTAAAGAAAATTATAGTTAACATTTATATTAACCACCAAAGAAAGGCTTCTATTAATGCCATATATTCAGATATAAAGGATAATCGTTTTCTAACATATAAGTGTTTATTAAGTGTTTTCTTATATGCATGGTACTCATGTTCAAAGAATATAACAACCTCTTCTATGACCTATCACAAGTATAGTGGGATAGTTAAGAGTACAGTGTTTTAGTTCTCGGTCCTCCACATATAAAGCATGCCTCAGTTTCTTTATTTGTAAGGTATGATAAAGGACAACAATAATACCTGTCTTTACAGGTCATTATAAGGGCTGAATGAATCATTAGCTATAAAGTGCATAGGACAGAACCTGTATATTACAAGTGTACATTAAGTATTGGCTACTAGTAGTAGTATTTTTTAATTATCATCATCTTCCAATATTTTCCTATTTATACTGTAGAGTCCACTGTAAGCTTTTTTAAACCTGAGAAGGCCAGAATTTGGCCCACAATTGGAGCCTGAAGAATATGGACAGACATGTCTAACTAGAAATACAAAGAAAAGTCTCACATGATTTTTAAGAAGTTAATATTAGGAAAATCACAGACATGTAGTGTTGTTATCTTAAGGAAATAGCTTAGAAAAGGAGGGCTAGGTGGGAGCAGGAAGATCTACATATGTCTCTGGGCTGGTAAAATATGACGTGGTGGTGTAGACAAAGGGAGGAGACACATGCTTCTCTGACACCACTTTTCACGTTAGGAAAAATTCTGTCAGCAAAATTGACTGCACCATGTGCAATCCTTGAACACCAGATTTTTATAGATGAACTTGGCCAATGGCACATAGAAAATAGTGAAAAACTGTTGTTGAATATTGAGATGATAACCCCATGCAGATGTGCGTAAGGATTAAGATGTTGGCATCTATGTTTTTGAGAGATATTAGGTAATGGCTTTCATATAATGTCATTGCCTGATACTGGTATCAACATCAAACCAGCTTCATAGGATGAGTGGAGAAATATTCCCTCCTCTGAATTTTCTGAAAGAGTTTCTATAGAATTGGTGTGATCTGGTCTTTTAATGTTTGGTAGAATTCACCAATTCACCCAGTGAAACCATCTGTGTCTAGAGTTTTTTGTATGGAAAACTTCCAGCTACCAATTTATTAAAAACAAACAGAAAAACTATAAGGTCTTTCAGCTGATCTGTTTCTTCCTACATAAGCTTTGGTAATTTGTGTCTTTCAAAAATGTATGCATTTCATCAGAGTTGTGTTATCTATTGTTAATTGTTTTTTCACTACTGAAACAAGATTCTTCTTCATATTCTAACTGATGGCCCTGAATTATGAAGCTTTTTACTCTGGCTATTGGGAACAGATACTGTTCCCAGTTCTGTGTGAACTTTATACACTTTTCCTGTTATACTTTTGGGTGGTTCTTTCCCAGGTCATGGGTAGTTTCCTCACATGTGTGTATTTATCATTATTCAACTGGGTACATGAGGAAATTCTCTGCAGATCTCAGAAGAAGTTCTGTATAGCTTTTTCCTCTCCAGTTCTCTGCCTGCAGACTTCACCTACCTTAGCTTCACTGGACAACCAGCTTGATGTCTGTAGACTGGGCACTCATTGGGCTCTGGCATCTTTCCCTTCCTATACCGCAGCCTGGAAACTTTTTCCAGACAATAAGCTAGAGCAATTATAGGATTCACCTCATTTGTTTTCTGTCTCTGCTGCCTGATGTCTAAAATCTTAATCGCCATTGTTTCATGTTTTATGTATTCAATTTTTTTTCAAGAAGGATTGTAAATCTGTTCCCTTTTACTCGATTTTGAGCAGATATAGAAGTCCAGTCCCTGAGTATTGAATATATATATATATTGCTACTACACTCAAAGAATTTTATTATATATTATACATGCCCAGGCCCATGAGTTTAATTTCTCCTTGTTCAGGCATGAAAACCATACCCCAGTTAAAAGAGCTGAAAGTGCTGAAAATTAAAAGAAAGTGAAATTATAGTCATAAATAATCTAACATATATATATTTCTTCAGAGCTTCCTTTAAAATATCTACCAATAGAAATGAGGTGCCCCAGGTAGGCTGGGGAACATTTTTTTCCTCAAAAGTTTTCCAGTAAAGGATTTAACTTCTATGGATCTGTATCAATTTATTGTTCAAAAAATGGCTGATTTACAAGCAGGCCTGATCCTTGTCTCTTTTATTTCTTCTCAGTGCCAGATGAAAGCAAAGTCCACTCACTGGCTGGTCACAAATCGGGTAAGAAACTCCTCATAGCTGACTGTAGATTCTCCTTCCTGGAAATTGCTGGCTGTGTTTGAGTAGCAGTTGGAACTTATTTCCATCCTCCAGTCACTGAAAGGCTTGCTAATTAATACATGAGATGTCTGACTTCCACTAAGATGAATTATTGCTTGGCTGTGTGTGTAGTGGCATAATGTATGCTGACTCTAACTGTTTGAGAGGAAAGAATAAAGGTTTCCAAAAACTAATAATTATAAAACCAAAAAATCTTAAACCTGATAGCCAGCTGAACACTTAAAATAACAACAACAACAAAAAATTATAAGGAAAATCCAAGAAAGGTTGAAACTCTTTCCTGTGATGACTCTCACATTACAAGGAGCTCCACAGTAAGAAAAGTGTGATGATTTCTGTCTCCTCAAAAAGGAATAATGTTTTTGCTTGTCATCAAAGGGGATCACACCCCTGATGGCGATCTTATCTTTCTTTTGACTGAGCAATGAGCTCCTTAGAGGTTCTCCAGGAAGTCCACAAGGATCTCCAAGGGTCTGCTGGATCTTTCTCTGTTATGTATGAGATACCTTCATGTCGAAAGTCCAAACTTTCCCTTCATTGCCAAGTGGCCTGATTCTGTCTCTTTGCCCTTCATCATTGCTTGTTCACGTTAGTTGAAAACACTTAAAGCTACTAAGCTAGCAAATACTATAGTGATCCTTTCTCTAGAGGTGCAATATCTGGGAGAAAGTATCCATTTTACTCTCAAGCTTGCCACTCCAAGTAACAGAAGAGTTACAGTTTGTTGACATCCCCCCCCCACCCCTCCCCTGTTCCTGAAACAAAGAAGTCTTTCCTGTCACAGAATGTCTTCTGCCTTTATGTGCTAATTATGTTTCCAGCAGTAAGTGGCCTTGATGCCTCATTACTTCTATCATGTTCCAGGGCAAGATTATGATTTTTTTTTTCTTTTTCTCTTTCTCCAGATTCTCTTGTGATAACAGCAGGGAAGGGCTGGTTCACAACTCTTAGATTGTTTTCTTTTCTCCTCCTCCTAATAAAGAGCCTAAGAGGTTAGATCACTGTGAAAAGAAAGATTTTTTGTGGAAATGATAAACTGTATCATGCTGCTTTTCCCCATCATCCTTGTCCATTAAATTCTCTACCACTGGAAATATTTTTAGGAGCCTGAAAAGGAAGTTCTCATGACCAAGGAACCCCAAGGATAGCCTGTATTATTCTCATCTTAAATGCATCTTAAGTGGCACTGCTGTAGTAAGCTTTGTTACACATATTAACCCTTGAAGATTAAAGCCTTTTTATGTACTGGGGTAGGCTTCAAGGTAAAAAAAAAAAAAAAAAAAGAAATGGAAGCAATTTTTAAGACTGTTTATCAGTTTGGTTTTTGAAAATGAGCAAATAAATTTTGTGGCTTCTTTCCCCCCCCAGAAAATCAAATCTTATTCTGATCTTACTTAATTTCCAAACAAATTACTGTTAGCTAGTAACTAAAACTTACTGTACTCTTTTTCAATTAGTGCTACAGTATTTTAGTAAATTGAATATGTCTTTATGAAGTATGATATAAAATATATTAGTAAACAATTACCCTAAATTCAAAACTTGATATATCTTCCAAATTAAAAAAGAAATAACAAAAATGGCATAATTTAAAATCTGTCAGGTAGGTTAATTGTAAGCTACACATGGCAGCTTTACTTCAGCTGGTGGATACAAATAGTACCAACAGCCTTTATACCATGTGAACCATGATGCTTAAATATATTAGGTGTTTTACAGATTTCTGGTTACTAATGAACTGCTAGTACAATATTCACTATTTTACATTTCTTTCTTTTTTTACATTTTTAAAAATTTATTATTTTTGAGAGACAGAGAGAGAGCACAGGTGGGGAAGGGGCAGAGAGAGAAGGAGACAGAATCCGAAGCAGGCTCCAGCCTCTGAGCTGTCAACACAGAGCCCAACGCGAGGCTTGAACTCATAAACTGTGAGATCATGACCTGAGCTGAAGTCTGACGCTCAACTGACTTGGCCACCCGGGACCCCTACCTTTCTGAATACTCATATGCCCTCTCAAAATGTCACTGAGCTTTTCATTGGCTGTGAGAGCAATGCAAATGCTGAGAACAACCAGAAAACTGCTACCTCTGAAGCAGAAGGGGCGTAGGAGAAAACGCAACAGTGAGGCAGCCACCTAATACTCACTCTAGAGTTACGTTAAGTGAGAGAGTTAATATCTCTAAGCATTAAAATAGGCTCTAAAATATTAGACCGTTCTGAGAAATTTCAAAGCCACGTTAAAGAAAAATCTGCAACTGAGGTTACAAATTTGTAGACTCCCAAGAATATAACCTCCCCCATCTTTTACATTTATTTCTTTTTGGAAATGGGTCTTGAATTACAATGATCCTCAAAAACTCATCCCTCCTGTAAAATGCCACTCCCCTGTGTGTGCCACATTTCTGCAAAGCAGTTTGTGAGGAGGCTTTGGTGGCAGCTGTGGCAGTGATAGTGAAAGACTAAGGGTCCTCTTGATTCTGGTAATGTCTTTCAGTTATAAAATCACTTTAAAAATGTACCTGGTGTGTAACTGAAGTCACATTCTGCTACAGTCTGTGACCACTAAGCAAGTTGCTAGTTGGATTATAATGTCTAATGTTCTGTGGTCATACTTGTCTCACCAGTGTTTAAAGAGATCATTTGCTGTTTCCCCTTTCCCTTCCCCAAATCTTTTTCTCCAGAATATTTAAGTAAAAAGGTGGTATCTCTTTTGATAAAAAGGAAAAGTATCTCCCTCTGTCTCTTTTTAATTATAGAAATGTGGGCAGCTTTCATACTACCCAAGACCATCAGGAAGTTAAATTAAATTGTATGTGCTGCCCTAAATCTATCATCCATCCTCTTAAATGGGATGATATTCAACATTTTAATAAATTCATCGGAGTTAAAATTTCTTCTGAGTCAGCTACTTAGTGTATAGAGAGCCATTTCGTGCCAAGTCCCATCTGTTGGTCTGCCTTGGGTACATCCCAAATTTGTGACAATATTTTTGGCATCCTTTCCTGGGCTTAAGCTTTAAATGGTTGATTCTTCAGAACTCAGATCAAATCAAAGGCTCAGGTAAGATAAATCTTTCTAATGTTTTTGGCCCAAAATGTAGTGTGCCCTCACCCTTTCTAGAATCAGTTCAGTATTCTTGAGATTTTCCTACATCTGACCTCAGGGGATTCCCCTGAGCACATTGTATTTCATACCTTAGTGAGGAGGGGAGCAGGATGGTTCTTTTGGTGATCTTACATTGTCTTCCTCCATGGATAAGTGGTATCAATGTCTGTGGAATGGTGAGAGATTAATCCCCAGAGAGATAAAGAACAAAATGCCTTTTAATTGGTTCCTTTAAGAAAAATCACAAGTTTCAGAGAGTCTTAAAAGTCAAAAGGTGTCTTTCCCCATTCCGCTTATCTTGTTCATTGAATTCTGATAAAATCCAAATTTTAGTAAATGCAGGGGGGGTTAAAAAACTTCAGCAAAAGGTATATTTAAAGCAATGAAACCATTTGTTGATGATTTAAATATTCTAAGGGAACATTAGAATCCGAAGAAAATGACAACAAGTTTAGCTGGCTTCTTTGTAAATTATGCTTTAATTTTGACTATACACGGACCCATAAACTATGTCTGAGAAGGAATCCTTTCCTTCCCCGCCCCCTGCATACTGAGCTGACACCTAAACTGATAGTTTAATGCTCCTCAACATCAGGCAGAAAGGACTTATAAATTTTACTTTTTTTTTTTTTTTACTAATTTTTTTTTTTGTTGTTTTGATTTACTGCTTGGAACTGTTTTAATATGTATTGACTGTCTGCAGAGATCTTTGCTGACCCAGCTCTTTAAGATGATGCAGTACTGAAGAAAGCCGATGAGTTCTTCTTTATGAGCTCTGACATATTAATTAGCAAAATGGACTAAAAAGCTTTCCTATTTCTATTTTAATTTCTTACATTCTCAAACACCTGTCTATATAGCTGTAAAACAGGCAAGTCTGTAAAAGTAATGGTTGGCACTAAGTCCAGACCTTTTCTGAGATAAGTTTATCAATTAATGAGCAAATATTCACTAACAGTCTAAGGGGCTATCTCTGTATAGGTGCCTTGCAGCCAGTACGTATTTGATATCTTACATTTTACTATAAGGAGGCTGAAGCTCAGGGCCTTTAAATGTTTGTTCTCTCGGCTGGTAACCAGCATGCATTAGGTTCTGAACTGAAAGGGTAAAGTCTATGCTTTGGCCAGTTCATTTTCCACCAGCAAGTGCCTAACACTTCAGTCCCAGGAACTGAGAAGAATACAGTTCTAGTTGGAAGACATGACACACACACATCAAGATATCCCATGAGTTCTGGCTTACCTTTTGTAAACTCTAGGTGAACAAGGAACATCATCATTTTTCTAGCAGACTGTTGTAACTCAATGAGTATGGGAGAGACATCTGATCTGATCATTCTTGCCTTTGTTTCCCTACTTGTATGTATGCATGTGTGTACATACAAAGTATTTGAGGTTATAATTTATATTTATATGAAAGTATATGCCAAGTGAAGAGATGTATTACGAAAATATGCATATGATGTGCGTGTATTGTGTATAAATTATAAAGCACATGTGCATATTCTTATGGCAAAGGCCGAAAGTTTAATATGCAAGTCACTAACTTGGCAGACCTTATATTCAGCTCTAAATGCATTGTGTGTAAACTTTATATTTAGAATGTTCAAGTGGCCAAAGAAATCTCTAGATCTTTCCAAAGGAGTCGAGCTTTTAAAAGCATTAGGTGATGAGATAGTCACTTTAATATAAGAGCAATGTGTTATTAAGTGACATTTCATATGTTTTGTTGAGTCTTAGTATTTCATACTTTTATAGAATGTCTAAATTAAGGTATGCATTTAAAATTTGAAACACCAACTGTGGTCAGTTTTTGTGAGCCTTAATTGGATACT